CTCCGTCTCGAAAGCCGAAACACTGCGTCGCAGCGTTTACAGGTACTCGAACTCCGAAACGGTTTAGGGGAGTCTGCAGATGAGCAGCGGAGACATCACCCGGAGGATCCCATGTCAAGGGCCCCCCGATATCGGTAGCATCCAAGTCGTAGTCTGCGAAGGTGACATTGGACACCTGCGATGTTTTTGAAAGGGCAATTCAACAGTCCGTGCTTAAGCGCGGCGAAACTCCTTGCGAAGCTGCATATCATCAGTATACCGAAATCGGCAAAACAGCTGGGGCCCCCGGCTGTTGCATACGTATCCGAAAGTGCTGCTGCAACCGGAGTTGTCTGCTCGACCAGTGAGGACCTCCCACTTGTTTGATCAGTGCAGCTTTTGTGTTGCCCACCTTACGGTCTTAACCCCTTCTAGGGCCAAGCTCCATTTCCGATGCCTCGGTCATGAGCATGTACAACCGTCTTGGGTTCGCAGCCGGTTTCACGACTGGTAGCACCAAAACCAATGCAACACAAAGACTTCCGACTACCCATGCTTGCCGTGGCTCCTGGCCTTGGAGCTGTGCTACTCATTGGATGCTGCTGTGCTGTTCATTGTGACTTCGTTCACGCGATACAGCAAGACTTAGTATTCAGGTGTTTGCGGCACCTTCTGCTGGGCGTGACCTGTGGTTCGCCCATGCTATAAGCCTGTCGAAAATGCCATGTGCTTTCCCTGCGGAGAAACAGTCTGGTTTAAAGTTTCATCCTATACATCATATTGGCACCATGCACTAAAGGTCTCTACGCGCTTAGCATCTGAAAGAATTGGGTAGAAGACCGCCTACACAGTACGGCTCAAGCCGGTCCATGCTCTTGACTCTGCGGTTTGGGTCCAGACCGTCTGGTGCTATGCTGACGACTGTTCTGGTTAGTCCTGTCACTTCTCATCTCCAACAGATGCGAGTATGCGATCTTGAAACCAAGATGTTTGAGTCAACTTTAAAGGGAGAACATGCAATGCAGCTGCCCAGGCAGGAATGAACGGTTGTACTTCGAAGCGGCTGCTCGAACATGGCCACATTGACGAATGTACTCCATATTCCCAACTACAGGCAGCCGCGACTCCAGACTACTCCACGTCCGGTGTGATCTTCCAGTGCCATCTACAGCAGTTCTACACACATCGTAAGCAAGAAGACACAGGTCACCGCGCTTCAGCTCTGAAAGATTGCGTGCGCACCCCATGGTTTAGAATGGGTTCTACCTTCATCCGGAGGAACCCGAACCGAGATAATCCGCAACTCGCCCGCCAGGCCTTGTGTAGATTGCAAGGTAGCTGAAGTTTTGGCGAGGGGTATCGTAGAGGATGTCAAGCGCAGTGATGTTGACCTTATCAGCCCCGTGCCCTTTTCAGATGGGCTAAGTGGGCTTGGGGATACTGTCAGCTTGCAGATGGCTTGTGTTTAGAACCCCCAGTGCGAGACAACATATGCCCCCATCCAGCCGCACCTGTGCGCACTACAACTCCAGCGCCGTTTCGACGTTGTCAGTGCCCAGCTGACCAACGAGGCACTTTGCTGGCTTCATATCGCGAAACCCGCAGTGGATTCGCTTCAGACGGCCACCAGACTCGCCCACTGTCACTCTGGTCGTTTGCAGATGTCTCGTGTTGTCACCATGTCTCGGCGCCTTGTGCGCAGAACTGGAGTTCTTTCGCTTTTCGTACATAAGCCGTTCGGCACGTGACGCACAGGACTTGACTTATTGTTCCGTTCCAACTGCACGAGAACCACCAAAGCCAGACAAAAATCAGCAGATCGTCCGAAAGCCGAGAGGGCCCGAAAAGGCCCTAATAATCAGATCACATTCATGGTGCCCACAGTTGTTGTTGCATCTTAGCTTGCCCGTCCGGCTGGACATAAATTCGAATCTGCAGTACCTACAGTAGCCTCTCAAGCCCTGAGGCAGCAGAGTCAGAAGAGCTCCAAGTACCTCCAAATCCGGAGTAGTCCGCCCGAGGCCCGGAAACTCGTAAGAACTGTGTAAAATCAGTCCAAGGGCACAAGAACTGCACGTGCTCAAGCCTGCGAAGTCTCATGCGCCCTCAAAACCGTCACCTGAAAGGTCACGAAAAATGAGCTCCCGCCACCTACCTCAGAACCACCTCCAAAGCTATGGAGCACAGCACCTTTGAATCATTGAAACTCCAACTACATAAACGGATGCTCCGAAAGCGCGCATCGCCCTGGGCATCCGGAATATCGCTAAGATCGCAGCTGGCACTCCTTCGTCGACTTGCGACCGGTAGAAACCATCTGCTGAGTCGGCAAAGTACAGGTGGTAGCCTCTCGACTTGTCTTTAAAAAACTTTGGGATTTACGCTTCAGTCGCCTGAGGCAAGCAGGCATTAGCATGTAATACCCGACTCTTAATTCACACTGGCTAGGGAAGTCAAGGATTACATATGTGGCCGATCGAGATGCATACTCATACCTCAAAACCTCAAACTAAAACTGAATCGTACGAGCAGAGTAGAATTGGGCCAGGAACACCTCCTACAGGTGCACGCAGAATTCAATGACAGTGAAGCGATTAAACTTCACACTCGACGTTCCTGGCCAAGTGGCCTTCTACAAGATCTGGCTTGTCTGGAGACTCCCAGGACACCAAGCCACCAATCTCATCACGATCCAAGTCAAGATCTTTGAAGGAAATGTTCGAAACGCTAGCAAACTCGTCTGAGATCCGATGGATGCTGGGCGTCGACTGTTCCACAAGGGCCGACCTTTCAATTTCAACCGGTGCTGCAACAACTATCCTCAGCATGGATATTATTGCAATGTCATCCAGCCGCCGATGCAGCAACACTTCTATAGTAATGCTGTATCAAGCTACAGCACTCCAGCTGTTGGGGATGATAACGGATCATGCAGGATTTTGTCATCTGAATTTCATCGAGTAGTGAGCAACGTGAGACAATCTAGCACAAGCGAGGCTCTTCGCGACCACAACAAGCTTAGGTGCCTGCCTCGTGTAAACCAAGAAGTGAGAGATGTATGCCTCATCGCTCTTCAAGCTCTTCTCTGCATGAATCTGAAGCAGTGTTGTTCCCACTGGCAGCGTAGCATAGTGCTCCCTCCATTCGCCGACTGTGCTGTTGGAGAAGTACACCTCGTAGTGTGTCACCAGTGAGGTGTCCAATGGTGGCAGCCATGAGCTAGGTCCTCCGATGTCACCGAGGTCCAAGTCCAAATCGATAAAAAGAACGGAGGACACCGAGGCGTTGTTGTCTTGTAGGGCAAGGGCACTGGGAGTCGTCTGCTCTGCAAGCCTGGACTTGGTGTAAACTAAGACCTGACTGAAGTTGGCCAGAGCTGTGTCTGGGAGGATCTCTGCGATCTCCGAGTCCACACCAACCACGATGTCTGATCCCAGCTGTGACCGGTAGCTTACGGAGTCGCCGAAGCTCGTCGCGAGGTATGCTACGTAGCTCACCACACGTTCGGCCGATGTTGGTGGCACGAAAGACACCGTGCCGCCAAGCTCACCAGCGTCCAAGTCCAAATCCGTAAAGGATACGTTTGTCACGCTGGCGATCGTTTCGATAATGACCACTGAGGAAGGAGTCGTTTGCTCTTCCAGAGGCGACCGGCCAAAGACCAACAAGTGTGTAAAGCTCAGCAGCTGAGTGTTGTCCGGAACCGAGAAGCTTAGCTCATCTCGACTGACATTTCCCAGCAGCGACCGGTTGGTCCCATATCGATCCTCCGCGAGGTAGACCACGTAGTCCACCACCTCGGAGTCATCTTCAGCGGGAAGCCACGTAAGATTTCCTCCGATTTCCCCCTCGTCGAGATCGTCATCTACGAAGGATACATTGTTGGCTCGGGATGCCTCGTCTTGAATGGCCAGGAATGCAGGCGTCGTCTGCTCCACGAGGAGCGACTTCGTGAAGACGGTGAAATGGGTGAAGTTCTCTCTCCGTGTGTTGGCCGGCACATCGTAGAAGAGAATCTCCGGAGCCAGCTCCGTGGGACCCACTTGCGATCGGCCGAAACCTGAGGCGCTCTCGGCGAGGTAGATGCGGTAGGCCGCCAAACGATCAGTGGAGTTCGGCGGCTCCCAAGACAAGCGTCCACCCAAATCGTAAAAGTCAAGGTCCTGTCCTAAAAACGACACCGAGGAAACACTGGAGTCTTCATCCGCAATCTGCAGCGCTCTTGGAAAGCTTTGCTCTGCTAGGCTGGAGGCAGCATACACTAGGTAGTGTGTCCAGTTTGCGAGTCGCGTTTCTGGAGGAATTGTGAGTGCTGTGTCGCCCTCTAGCGTACTCCCAACAAACTTGCGACACCAGCTAAGACTCAAGGAGAAGAGTCCAGTGTTGCGACCTGACAGCTGCCGTGGGACTGCGTCCGAGTCCTGAACAAGGCCATCGGATTCATCGGATACTTCGAAAGCCGAAGACAGCCTTCTGGAGATGTTGGATATTACATCCGTATCCTCGTCACTGTCCGGCTCGCCGCTGGCGTTGGCTGCGACAGCTGCGGCTGCTGTCGCAAAGCGTTGAAGGATTTGGGCCGTGTCCACAGTGTCCACCGAAAGCCGCGAGAAGGACAGCACAGAGAGGCTTGCGCTTGTCACCAGGCTGGACACCCCAGCAGCTTGCAGCGCCACAGCCATGACTGTCTCGAAGGATGCAGATGCCGAGCTCAATGCCACCGCCGCCGCGGAGGTTGTCAAAACCGCCTCCAGGGACACGGCGGCTTCGTAACTGACATGCCAGAAGCTGGAGAGGCGCCGCATACTCTGCTCGCTTGCGAGGCGTCGACTCGTCCTCGTGACCGTGACTTCGAGGTTCTTCGGATCGATTCCGGGCAAAGCTGCGAGCACAGCTAGACGCGCTGCATGTTCCACCTGCTCGAGAGTGGCCGGTACGGAGAAAGTGAAGCTGCCGGTGATCGCCGCCAGCTGAACCACGTCTTCGTAGCACTCTTCGGACTCGTTGTCGTGATGTCTGGCCATGTAAACCACGTAGTGTGTGACTTGGAACGTGTCTGATGGTGGCTCCCAGGAGAACAAGCCTCCGATGTCGCCCCTGTCCAAGTCGAAGTCGGGGAAAGAGGCGTTCCCTACAATGGCGATGGTGTCCGAGAGGTTCACAGCCACAGGGGTTGTTTGCTCCACAAGGCTCGACTTGGTGTAAATTGCAATCTGTCCTCCTCCGTAGCTTGTCTCTGCAGGTAACGAGAAAGAGTCGATTCCTGGTGACAGCACTGAAAGTTGGGAGCGGCTGTATGCATCCTTGAAGTAGAGCCAGTATCCCTCTACTGGCTCAGGTTCTGGTGGCTCCGTCCACGAGATGATACCACCAAATTGCTCCAAGTCAAGGTCTAGATCGTCGAAAGACACCTGAGAGACACTGGCGATGGTGTCGTTGATTTCTTGCCCAAAGGGAGTGGTCTGCTCTGCGAGGGAGGATTTCAAGTAGATGAGCACAAGGCCACTGTTGGCCAGAGGCGTCTCCGGTGCTATGTCGAGCTGAGATTCGGGAGCTGATGCGTTAGTAAGGAAGTAGCGGCACAGCTCGTCTCCGACGCTGACCCGGTCGCAAAGTGCTCCGTTCGCAGGTCCTGCAAGGTACACCATATAAGCCTCTACCAGTGCCTCATCGCTTGTGGACCAGGAAAGCTCTCCACCAAGGTCTGCCGCATCTAAATCCAAGTCCGGAAAGCGAATGTTTCGCACAACAGGTGCTTCGTCAAGCAATCTGCTGGAGGCCGGAGTCGTCTGTTCCACAAGCGTCGAACGTGTGTACACCAGCACATGACTGTAATTCAGCTTTGGCGTATCCGGCAAGAGCGGCAGCATGTTTATTCCCTTCGGGAGGGCCTGATGCAGCTGGGATTTCGCCAATCCCAGGCGGTCCTCTCCGAAATAAACCAAATAATCTTGCACCCGCTCTCGGCTTTCCTTCGACTGACTTTTGAATGCTGATCTATCACTGCATCCTATCAAACCCTTATGTTTGCTCAGCGCCACTCTGCTGCCAAAAAATCTCACTCAAGGCGTAAGACACCCGCAAGGCTTCAAGGTCGAGATGCTGGAGGATCCCACACGATGGTCCCTCCCACGTCGGTGGCATCGAGATCCAGATCGACAAAGGTCACGTTGGAGACGCTCGCGGACTCGTCTGCCAATTCCAGCGCAGCCTTGTTCGAGAGGTGTAGGGCAGTGTAGGGCGTATAGGGGTTGGTTAATAATACTCCTGGCAGGTCTGACAGGCTAGTGTAAGTTATACCGCAATTGACCTAGATTGCAATCCAGCCGCAGGGGTGGTCTGCTCTACGAGACTGGAAGCTGTGTAGACCAGAAAGTGCGTGTAGTTTCCGATGGACGTCTCCGGGGGCACGGTGACGTTATCATCACCCAGCAAAGTCGTGGCAAAGAACTCCCGGAACCAACCAAGTGCTAGAGATCTCGTGCCAGTGATGGTTGAAAGCCTGCGCTCTTGAAGTGACAAGTTGTCCAAGCCATCCATGTCAGAGTCCTCAGCAGCGGGGTCTGGATCTGAGGTTGTGTTCAGCATTGCCAGGGCCACATCCAGCTCTGTTATCTCCACGGAGATTTCGGCAAAGTCCAAGACTGCCAAAGACAACACGGAGGACGTGCTCACCCCGACGGCTTCCAGCTCTGGGGCCAGGATCGCTCGGAACGCACCCAGGTCCGCACGCTGGGCCCGTGCAGCCTCGGACACGGATGCAGCAGCATCGGCAGACACGAGGACCTGGTAAACCACAGACCAGGAAATGGCAAGTCGGCGGCCGGTAGCTTTCTTTGCTTGCGCAAGGCGTCGTGCCGACTGTGTCACCTGAACCTCCACAGCCGAGGGGTCCACGCCCAGCGCAGATCCCAAGGCGGCGATGGCTGCATCGACAACCTGAGAAGCCTCAAGCATGTATGCATGTATGTATGCACGCATGTATGCATGCAAGTATGCGTATGTACGGACCTGTGCACGTACGTACATGCTTCTGTATAGGTAAGTAGGTAGGTAGGTAGGCAGGCAGGTAGGTAGGTAGGTAGGTAGGTAGGTAGGTAGGTAAGTACGCAGGTACATAGGTAGGTAGGTAGGTACGTATGTATGTATGTATGTGCGTATGTCCGCATGCCTGCTTACCGTACATACTGTAAAGCTATACAGCTATACCATACAGAGGGGGACAAAGAAACATACGCAAGCACTCAAATGGGCACAACCACCCATGCGGTCCCGTTCTGTTTTTCACCGGGCTTGAGGGGCAAATGCACTCGCTCCCTCCTCCCTCTCTCCCTCCCACCCTCCTCTGTCTCTGTCTCTTTCTCTTGCTTTCTTTCTTTCTGCAGGGCATAGGGGTCGCATGTTTGCGATCCTCAGGCCATTGGCCCGCCCCCCCACCCTCTGTGTTATGGAGTGGGAGGCATTGGGGTCATAATGACTGCTGCACAAGAGTACCCAGGAAGCAGCAGACTTCCAGCAGTAAGCCCCCGACCCCGAACACTACAACCCCAACCTGCGTCCCGGCCTCGTCCCCATGCCCCTTATGGGCGTCGCTGGGCTTATCTGAAAGTCGGTCTGCAGAGCCCTAATGCAGAGGGTGCGAATCAAACAGCACAGACACCTGGTCTAAAAAAAGAACCAAACTTCTCTTTTGCCCCCTCTGCGTCGGCCCAGCACTCCGCAACTAGGGACGCTTTGGTAGAGAAGGTGAAGCATGTTAAAGCCCCCTTACGGCCTCGGAAAACCCCAACTTCTTTTCAGTAGCGTCCCCCGCTATGTGAAACTAGAAGCCTTCACACCGGGTCCCAAGGCACGAGACAAGTACCCCTAGCTGCAATTACGGGCCCCAAGGCTCACTGGTTCCCTGAGTGCTTGGCTTGGTTACTGCGTGGCTACGTGGTCTCAGCCCCCAGCAACCCTGACATCAGCAGCGAACCCCCTACAAGAGACCTTAATCGTCATTGTCCAGGGAGCTGGGGGTGGTGAATCTACGTCTGGGCTCTGGTAGAGGTCGCCGAGGCTCTGGCCGCCCTCGTCGTCTGTGTCCCCCCGGCCGGGACTCCGTGCTCACTCGTCTCCGGTTCGTCCCCATTTGTCGCTGGCAAAGGTGGGCGTCCCCCCCTCTAAGGTGTCGGGCATCGTCGGGTTGGCATCTGCTTGTGCCTGCCCCCCTTCAGCTGCGGTGGTAGAAGTCGTCGAGGCTCTGGCCGCCGCGTCCCCCGCAGCGGTGGTAGAGGTCGCCGAGGCACTGGCCGCCGCGTTGTCTTTTGGAGGTGTGGGCTCCTCGTCCACTAGTTCCACATCGCTCCCCCAGTGTTCGGCTGTCCATTGCTCGAGGTGGCGCACGGCTGCACAGACGGCGTCTTGTAGCCCCCCTTCCAGAAAAGGCCGCAGTTGGCGGAGTTGGCGCTTCACACGGTACACATGCAGCGCCTGTGGTTTTCAGTCGCCCCAATTTGGAGCGCGAGGACATCTGCGGGATGCGATGCCACTCCCTCTGCGTCCCCGTGGTGCGGGTGGACTCCCACCAGGACATGCACCCCGTCCGCGGCTGCAGCCAGTAGGTTCTGTAATCTGGCCAGTGACCCCTCTGCGTCTGCGTCCAGTCCCTTGTCTCGTCAAGGCCTTGAGCGTCTCTTCCGCCTCCTCAGCCGCGTCCGTAGCATGGTGCGTTCGCCCCCAGTCTCTGGATTTCTTCCCCCTCACAAGTAGGCTCTGGCCTGCTTGAAGGAGCTCCCAGCCTTCAAGGAGCTCGCCACGGTCTGGTGTGCCCCCTTCCACCATGAGTCCCACTATCAGGGCTGCTACTTGGAACGCATTGGGGCTTGGGTGTGGTGGCTGCGCTTCCCCGACTTGTGGTAGCAGCTCCCCCGTCTCTCTCAGTCTGTTTTCTACCTCTGGTAGCTGTAGTTGTCGGGCCATTTGCGCCGCTGCCGCTATGTGTCTGCTAGCTGCTTCTGCCGTGTTGGAGGAAGTGGCTGCGGTTCCCCCTGTCTGCTCTGCTTGAGAATCTGCTGTGGCTGCCCCTGCTTGTTCCCAGGCTGCTTGCGTCTCCTCTTCAAGGCTTTGGAGCAGTTGCGAGGCTTGGCTGCGGGCCTTTTTGAGTGGGCTGGGTGTGCTGCCGTCGTTGTCTTGTGGCCCCCTGTGGTCGTGGCCGGTAGGGCTCCGGCTGCTGGTCGCTTGCTCCTCCGTCTGCTGCGGCTGCTGTAGGACATCTGGGGCTGGTGGCTGAGGTCGGGTCACGTCAATGATGTCCCCCCGAGGAGTGCTGGGGCTTCCCGGTGGCTGGTGTACTCCCGCCGGCTCGCATGGAGGTGGCGTCCACGGCACCGTTGCTGCGTCCCCGGCGGAGCTGTTGCTTTCTGGCGCAACGGGTGGTGGGTGGTGGCTGTGGGTCTTGTTCTCGTCTCCCGTGGGTTTGCACGAGGCTGTTGTGGTCCGGGGGTGGGTCTTCGCTGGGCCAGCTGCTTTCGGAGTCACTAGGTGGCTGTGGTGGTGGTCGCTTGGGGACTGCTTGGGGATGTGTGGCTTTCCCCTGGCGCCCTGTTGAAAGGCTGCTCGGGCTGCTGTGGAGTAGAAGGAGTAACCCCCCATTGGCGGTCTGTGTAGTGCCTGGTGGGGGCCTGGGCGGTGGCTGCTTTCGTGGTGGGGCTTGGTTGTTCATTGGCTCGTTCGAGTGCCAAGACGCCGCTGCCGCTTCTGTCATGCTGTCTGGCTCCGCCTCTTCTGCTGTTGTTGCAGCTCTCGTTCCTGGTTCGTTCCCCGGAGTTGGTTTTGTCTCTGCAGTCGGTGTCTCCTCTGGCTCTGCCCCTTCTGCTGTTGCTGCTGCGTCCCTCGCTCCTTGCACGTCCCCCGGCAGTGCTGGTTGTGGTGTCTCTGCAGTTGGTGTCTCCTCTGGCTCTGCGCCTTCTGCTGCTGCTGCTGCCGATGCTCCTCCGTGTGTATCCCCTGGCGGCGTCTGCTGTGGTGTGTCTGCGAGTGGTGCCACCTCTGCTGCATTGAGCGCTGCTGCTGCCCACGAGTGGAGGGCTCCGTCCCCGTCCGCTTCGTCTGCAGGAAAAACCAGGGGGCGTCTTTCTGGCTGTAAGCTTTCACGGAGGGCGGTGGCTCTGTATCCCCTGGGAGCGTAGGGATCCTTTAGGGGGAATTGTACACGGCTCCTGAGCGTGTAGACCGCAGCTGCGTCCACCGGGTCCAGCGTCATTTGCAGCAATTCGTGCTCTTGCATGTGCGCCGACATGTTGGGTGGATTGCCTTGGGCCTTGCGGCGCGCTCTATGTAAAAGGTCCCCGTCCTCTGGGTCGAGCTGGGTCATGATGTATCTTTGCGTGGGGCCGTCCCACGCCATCCTGTAGTGGCCTGGTGTGAAGGCTGCGGCCCATGGTTCGCGCTCCCTGGGGTATGCGCGCAGGAATAAATGCCACATCGTGTTTGCCCGCAGTGGGTGCACTTCGCCTTGCGCCCCCATGGAAAGGACCGGGTGGAGTCCCCCCACTTTGCTTTGCTGGCGTATACGTGCGAAGCCCCGTTGCCGGACTTGCTGGTAGCTGGGTGTGGCTGGCGATGTTCTCGAGAGGACAAAAGGCCCACCCCCCTCGTCCCAAATACCTGAAATGTGCGTAGGAGTGCACCGTGATTGGCAGCTCGGGGGGCAGAGGGTTCGGAGGCAGATAGCCCCCCATGGATCCGAGGTAGTAGTTGGCTGCTGTGCTCCAGGTCACGGGGGAGTCAAGTGGGAAGGGTCTGGTCCTTGGCAGGGAATGTGTACTGCTGCTGCGTGTGGGTGTTGTCCCCCCTGTGTCACTCTCTGGTCTGCGGCTGCTGCTCCCGTTGTTCCTCCTCCGGCGTCTTGGCTGGGGGCCGGGTGGTTCCTGGGTGCTGTTGTCCCCCCGCTGCGTGTCTCCTCCAGCTGGCTCATCCTGCTTTTGTGCCGCTCTTTAGCATTGGTGTCCTCCTTGCTCCCGCGCATTGGCTCCCCGCTGCTGCTTGCCGAGTGGTGTGGTGGTGCTATCGGCGGCTGCCGCGGCTGGTTATGTAGGTTGAGGAGCTTCGCAAACTTGGCTTTGTCCCTCTCGTCTTTCTCTTTCTCTCTCTCTCTCT